ACATGTTCACTGTGCAGAGTTTATTCATACGCATTTCGATAGTCCATGGACATTTGCATCGTCAGTTGCAGCGTTGTTGCTTCTTATATTTGCAGCTTTACAAGTCTTCTTTGCAGCTTATAGCTATTTCCGTCCTCCAGAAGAAAAGTGAGAGGTTCTAAATTTGTACACGTAAACATACTGAATGATTTCTTAAGTTAACTTAGTTAAGTGTTCTGATTCTTGAATCTTGTATATATATTTTCTTTGAACACTTTTAATTGTTTAACCTTCAAAAATATATGCTTGTATTTGATAAACATGTAACCAAATACAAAAAAAGGTAGAAATCAGTGGCTCAAGACAAGATAACATTATCAAGAGAGGCAGTACAAGTTCTCTTAGTCACTTAGCGGCAGTTTCTGTGACTCCTCGTATATCAAAGGTCTTGACTTTGTTGAATTCATTATTCATTGGCGAAGAAGATACATCTGTTTCTGCGTAGTGATGATCTTCATAAAAATCGTTGACTTGCGGTCCAAGATAGTTGGTGCTTACATGCGAGGCCCCTTCATATTCTGGTTTGGGTTTGAACATGCATTCTTCAGGCATCTTCTTGCACGAGCTGTATTTTACATCTTTGTTCTTTTTTGCAACCGGCTCTGGCAATCTCTCTGTTTTCAGAGGTTCCCCTTCATTTTTATCTTTTTCACCAAATGGCTCTGGCAATATCTCTGCTTTCACGGGTTCGTCTTCTTTCTTGCTCTGCTTCTTCTTGAAACACATGACTTTGAAACAAGTGAGACATCCTGTAGACATTTTTCTTGGGAGGTGGATAGATAAGTTTTAACAAACAATATGTGTGTTTTTGTTCAACTTAAAGAAGGTAATACCAGAAACAAAAAAAAAAAAAAAAAAAAAAAAAAAAAAAAAGAAGAAGGTTATACCAGAAACAAAGATTTGATTCCTTGAATGAAGATGGTTACATCTTCGAAAAAGAGAGAAAGAGACCTGAGTTATTATTATTATAATAAAGGGTGTTTCTTTTCAATATGAATCCTTGGGTCTCCATGTACGCAGCTTCCTTTCTTCCACCACTCACTTCTTGCAGGAAATTACCAAAAGAGAGAAAACAAAAAAAAACTTTAAAAAGGTATACCAACTCGGATCCAGGAGCTCACTTTATCCAAATCTTACTACTTTTATTGTACCACTTTTTAAAACATCAATAAGAAAAAACATGCTAATGTATCCTTTTATAAGTAAGTTGAATAACAGTTATTTCAACTCCAGTTTTTTCCAATCATTCATTCATTTGCATCCAACCATTTGCACCCATTAACCAGAGGTGGTGGGCTAGTGGTTCTATCTTGGTGGAAGAGTCGCCCTGTTGGTCTTGGTCAGGAATCGATTCTTCTCAGACGCAGAATTGCTAGCTTTATCCCTTTGATCACGTGGGATACCCTCTCCCCAGAGATTAGTCTCGGATCCTTACATAGGTCTGGGGATTTACCCTGAGTTAACAAAAAAAAAACAAAAAAAAAAAAAACCATTTGCACCCATAGTATAATATGCGTTCTTCAAAAAAAAAATTATCTCGTATTTGTGGTATTTTTTTTATAGAAAGACAAAAATAGTGGTATTTTTCCTCTCTTTTATTAAGTGATATCATCTATAAAAACTGAATTTTTAAGTTCTCCCAAAACAGTGAACTTCTCATTACTTGCATTATAACAAAAAAAAGTATGTGAAAAAATAATAATGTATATTTATGTGTACATTAAATTTAGATGATTTAGATTCTTTTCAAAAATAAATTTAAATTTATGTATCACAATGGCTTATGCTATTTATTCAACATACGCATAATATAGGCTGGAGAAAGAAACAACAAAGAGAGTTAATACTGTATTATCTTTTACAATAAGAAAGAGTCGTCGTTTCTAGTAACTTTGACCGCAAGACTGAATTTTTATGCCCTAGTCCAAAAGTCCAAGTCTTTGATTAACCAAGCCACCAGATGTGACCCTTTTTTCTTACCCCTACCAAAGACGCATGCAGAAAGGTGACATTTGTTTTTCATTTTGGTAAGCAGGTTTGACTCCATGCATGCAACTTCCACTCTTTACAACCCCAAATCCAAAAGCCAAAGGGTAGGAGTAGGACAAACGGTTGACTAAATCAGAAAAATCTATTTTGACAAAATTAATGATCCATTAAAGAAAATTTTAATTAAAAAAGGGGCTAAATCCTCGGCTGCTTTCTTTTTAACACTTCTGATATTTGTTCTTAGATAAAAATAAAAATGATATATGTTTGGATTTGTAAAAATTGAAATCAGATACATAGAAGTAATCAGTGGCTCAGAAGAAGATAATAAATATTTATCCAGTCTAATAAGTAAAGATGCGTTGAACAAATCACATCTCTCAACCACTTGTCTTCTTCATTCACCTCGCAGCTTCTTTTGAGACTTCTCGTAAATCAAATGTTTTGACTTTGTTGAATTCATTACTCATCTCTGAAGATTGAACATCTCCATTAAATTTATCACATAAACCGAGTTGTTTAAAGGAGTAATATATTTTTCCAGAGCCAACATCGCTGCTGCCACATTGTGAGTCGAAGTGTATGTTCTCATCTGTGCTGATTCCACTAACTGGTTTTGTCAATCTCTCCGCTTTCGAGGGATTGCCTTCTTTCTTGCTCTGCTTCTTCTTAGAACATATGGCTTTCAGAAAACTTAGACATCCTATAGACATTTTTTGTTTTGTACGTAAGATCTCACTACCAGAGAGACAGAGATTTTGATTCTGACATTCATGAAGATGTTAAAAATGTTCTTCACAAAGAGAGAACTAATAATTCCTTAGATTTTATATAAACGTCTCTCCTATAATTGGCTTCTTGAGAGTTGACTTTAGTAAACGCAAATTTGAAGTTGGTGACTTCCACCACACACACAGCTTCCTTTCTATTTCCCACTCAGTTATTAGGAAACTAGCTACCAAATAAAAGCCAATTCTATCTACACGCAAACGCCTTGAGCATTTTTGTATCACATAGAACATATTTTAATTTCTTTGAACTCAATCGATTTTGCTTGAAATGTATACTTTTTAAATGATACTCCATATCTTAAGAAAACAAACAATACACATAAATTACAAACGCAAACGCAAATAACTTATCCAGGCCTATAAGGAACTGAAAGCATCTTTCAAAGACAAACAAAACAGTCTCTTTATTTTTGCACAAATTTAGCAAGAAAGCAATTTTAGAGATTCTGAAGATCATTTGCTGCTCCCTCCTTGTCCCGTAGACTTAGTCTCTGCCACTTTACCAAATTCATACGTTTTCACTTTGTTGAAATCATTTGTCGTCGGTGAATAACCATTATCACCTTGCAAAACATAGTAACTGACCGGTGGTTCCGATTTGGGTTCTTCTTTTTTCTTTCTGTTAAAGGGCTCCGATTTGGTTTCTCTCGCAGGTTTGTGTTGTTGGAAGGAGCATATTTTTATGACGAAAAACAAAAAGAGAAGAAATAAACATATGTTGATAAACATTGTCAACATTTTCTCTAGAGGTTGTAAATGAGTTTAACAAACAAGGTACTACTTGCTTGTCCAACTTAAATAAAGTGTAGAGACAAAATAAAATAAATTTGATTCTGGAAGATGTTTTAATGTACAGTTGCTATTATCACTTCTTTTATTTTATGTTTACTTGACTAACGCAGAGTTGGATCCACGTACTTTCCTAGTTTTTCTAACGCCAACTCGCACACAGTCACGACTTCATTTGACACCAAGACTCCAGTCTAACTCACTGAGGATCGATAGATGCCAAACATACTTTTGTTAGGTTTCCAAAAAATATTACTTTTGTTCCTCTGCCGACCTAACGTGGATGGAGACTTGTCAACGTTTTGCTAGTGCGAAATTTCACTTCTCTTTCCTGAGTTTCATTACAAAATTCTACGATATAACTTTAATCTGTAGGTGGGTTTGAACATTTGTACTAAACTACAAATGAATCCACAGGCCAACCAAAGTGCAGGCCAGAATAGTCATGGTACTATCATCCCGACAACAGTCCTGGACATATATCGATTAGTTTCAGAAGATGCTGGTCCGAAGCTGCTGAGAGAATCAGCTGGTTCAAAGTCATGTTGCATCTTGAGAATCCCACAGAGCCTTGCAAGAATCAACCTCAAAGCTTACGAACCAAAGATCTTATCCATTGGTCCTTACCATCACGGCAAAGAACATCTCCAGATGATACAGCAGCATAAACGCCGATTCTTGAAGTTTTTCGTGGCTAAAATGGAAGAAAAGGGTTCTGATCCTCAAGAACTGGTCAAAGTTGTATCGAGTTTAGAAGGAGTTATAAGAGGTTCTTACTCTGAGGATCTTGGTTTAGATTCTGAAAAATTGGTTGAGATGATGGTGCTTGATGGTTGCTTTATCCTCACGTTGTTCTTTGTTGTTACCGGGAAAGTTGTTTACACAATTAATCAAGATGATCCTATTTTCAGAATGCCATGGATCTTGCAATCGATTCGAGCCGATCTTCTACTTTTGGAAAACCAGGTTCCGTATCTTCTTCTTCAAGCTCTATGCGAAGCATCGAGGTTAGTTGCTTGTAGTGGTCTTAACGAGATGGCTTTTGAATTCTTTGACTACTCATTACAAAAACCAGAGAGCTTTTGGAAAAAACATTATGGTCTTGAAGCAAAACATCTTCTTGATTTGATACGTACGACTTTTGTTCCTGTTCCGTCTCAAACAAGCATCAAAGATCATAGCTATCTCACAATCCTCTGTTGTTCCGAGGGGGAACGAGGAAAATCTAGCAGTAAACCAGATCATGAATATCTCGAATTCGTTCTCTCAGCCAAGAAGCTTCATCTTCGAGGAATCAAGTTCAAACCGAGGAAGAACACAGACTCAATCTTAGACATAAAGCTTAGTAACGGTGTGCTTCATATTCCTCCGGTAGTCATGGATGATTTTACTGCCTCGTTCTTGTTAAACTGTGTCGCATTTGAGCAGTTATATGCTGTAACATCGAACCACATAACGAGCTACGTAGCTTTCATGGCCTGTCTTATAAACGAAGAAGGCGATGCAGCGTTCCTTAGCGAAAAAAGGATCCTGGAGAACTATTTTGGAACAGAGGAGGAAGTGTCTCGGTTTTATAAAAGCATTGGTAAAGACATTGCCCTCGACTTAGAGAAGAGTTACTTAGCAAAGGTGTTTGAAGGTGTTAACGAGTATACTTCAAAAGGATTCCATGTTCACTGTGCAGAGTTTATTCATACGCATTTCGATAGTCCATGGACATTTGCATCGTCAGTTGCAGCGTTGTTGCTTCTTATATTTGCAGCTTTACAAGTCTTCTTTGCAGCTTATAGTTATTTCCGTCCTCCAAAAGATAAGTGAGAGGTTCTTTCTTTGTACACATGAATGATTTTTAAAGTTAACTTAGTTAAGTGTTCTGATTTTCTGAATCTTGTATATATTTGTTTTTTGCTAATTTCTTTAACACTTTTGATTTTACTAGTTTAACCTTCAAAAATATATGCTTGCATTGATAAAACATGTAACCAAATACATAAAAGGTAGAAATCAGTGGCTCAAGACAAGATAACATTATCAAGAGAGGCAGTACAAGTTCTCTTAGTCACTTAGCGGCAGTTTCTGTGACTCCTCGTATATCAAAGGTCTTCACTTTGTTGAATTCATTATTCATTGGCGAAGAAGATACATCTGTTTCTGCGTAGTGATGATCTTCATAAAAACCGTTGACTTGCGGTCCAAGATAGTTGGTGCTTACATGCGAGGCCCCTTCATATTCTGGTTTGGGTTTGAACATGCATTC